GGAGGCAGAGACACCAAGCTGACCTGATGCCTCTCCTACCCTCAGTCCCGGGCTATGCCAGAACCCGGCCCCAGTCCCGAGGGACCCAGGGGGCAGTGGGTGGAGCCCTTCTCGCTCCACAGAGCCGGTGCTCGGTGCTCGTGCCTGACCCAGCCAGCCAGGAGTTGGTTATGCAGAAACAGCACTGGGCTCGACCTGCGCTCACGGGATCCCCCCAATGTTCTCACCTCCCTCTGCTTAGCTACCTGAGGGCAATAGAATTGGCTATGTCCTTTATTCTAGTCTATGTTCAAATGTCCTGATAAGACTCATGGCAAAACGGAAGTCTTTGTGGGGATTTTTGTGTGTTTTTTTTTTGAGAGGTTTTTGCCTTAGGGTGATTCTGCTCAGTGGAGAAAGGGACAGGCACAATGAGAAGAAAAGTGAGAAACCACCCCCCTGGAGGCCTGGTCTCCTCCCCTTCTCCTCGTTCTCCTCCCAGGATCTTGGGCATGCATGCACCCCCCCCCAGTGCAATTTCCAAGCCACTGGGTCCAGGACTCAAACTGCAGTCAGCCGTGTGGAATTCTGGCAATGTAACCACTACGCCATCTGCTGCCCCAAGGTGAAAATCTTACCCAGGCTTCAGAGCCCCGATGCAGCGGCAGCCAGCTCCCCAAGGCAGCTGGTTCTGCCCCACCAGGTCCGGTTCACTACTTCGTCAGTCTTCACACGTTTTAGATATAGTAACTCGTGTTCCAAAGTCTTAGCTCAGCTGTTGGACTAGGATTTAAGTACCATTTGTGAATAGACAGGACGAAACGAAATGCTGACAAGCTCTGCCTGACCTGGTGCCAACAGTCCCAGGCAGCGTATGCCTGCATGCTCAGGAGAGACTGGGACTTGAACCCGGGACCTTGCCCCCGTGGTCCAGCTGGATGACGCCAGTGCCCCGGCCACACATACCTGCACCATCACCTCCAGTTTTCATAGTCCCTGCTTTAGTTCTTGAAGGAGTGTTTTGCTATTTGTAAATGCTCAGTTAGCAAGACCTGAGCACAGATCGCCATCAGCCTGGACGTGCAGTGTAGGTGCTGCCTTCACAGTCCTGTAGGCCAGGAAGGAAAACGTGGGCTTAGACATGTGCAGGGGTGGGGCCGGCAGGGCGTGGTGTTAGGGTGCTGGACTCCACACGGCCGACTGCGGTTTGCGTTCCGGATCTGGAGGCTTGCTTTCTCATTTTCCCTCTTCCTCTCTGTGTCTCTCTGGTGAGCACGTGTGCCCTGTAGCACATTGAAATAGTAATAATGATAAATACAATTACATAAACAGAAGGAAATGTGAGGGGCTCGGTGCGGAAGGACGGCGGGAACGTGTTACACGCCCCCTCCCCGCACCCCATGGTCCCTCCCTTCCTCTGGACTTCGGGTCCCTCTGTGGAGCCCGAGGACCCAGCTGGGGCCCGCCGGCGCTCTCTCCCTCCTTCTTCAGTGTGCTGTTTGGCCTCCTGACCAGATTGGGAGCTGCCGAGAACAGGGGCTGTTTGTTGTCCCCTAATCCCTCCAGGGCAGGGGCACGGCAGGACGACCTGCTGGCCGGGTTTGCTCTTCCCGAGAACCAGGCACGGGCGGCGTCTCGTGGGTGTTAGACGGCGGCAGGGCCCTCCCTGTGGTGGTTCCACTCCCCAGCGGGAGGTACCAGAGCATGCTGGGAGCCATGGGCATGCAAGGTGGGTGTCCCATGCAGCCTCTGCTGTCTGTCTGGGACACGTTCAAAAGGAAAACGTCCCTGACGTGCCCTGGGTGGAGACAAGAGGGGCCGGTGCAATGGCCAATCTGTGCGAGAGCCGGCCCTGCCAGGCTGCCTCGGACCAGAGGGGTCGCAGCTCCTTCCGCTCCTCGGCCACGGCACCATCAGTGACTCCGTGCACACCCGGGTATCCTCATAGGCAACTGAAAAGTGGGAGGCGACAGCTTCCACCCCGAGAGAGCGCCAGGAAAGCGGCCCCGCTCTGCCAACTGGTGCTCCTCCTAGCTGGAAGGAAGGATATGTGTAGGATTAAGTGTCCACACTGAGTGGCCACCGCAGCCCTGGGAGTGAGAGGAGCCTTCAGGAAGTTCATGGAAAATGTGTCTTGTGAAAAATCTATACGTGAATCTTACATTTGCACCAAAATAAACTCATTTTCCATAAACTCTTTGAAGTTCTGTCATTCGATGGGTTTTTGTTAAAAGGAGGGTGTCATAGTCCCTCCTATAAAGCAGTCTCTGCCTGGCTATGTGCTGTTGCTTTTTCTTTTTAAAAAGTTTTGCTACTGGGCATGTGTGTGCTTGCCAGAGAGAGAGAGAGAGAGCTGGAGAGAAGTGAGAAAGCACCCCGATGGCCATGCCACGGGCCCTGCTGCTCCACTCTTCTCTCAAGATTTTGGGCACACAGAGACCAACAGAGAGTGTAATGGTTATGTCGCTGGACTCCCACGTAGTCAACTGCAGTTCGACTCCCGGACCTGGCAACTTAAACTCACGCTGGACGCTGTGTGTGCGTGTCCAAGATCCCAAGAGGAAAATGGAGAAGGGATTGCAGTGTGGCCATCCCCCCGGGGGGCAATTTCTCACTTTCTGTCTCTCTTTCTGGTGAGCACACGCGCCCTATAGCAAAAATGTCTCAAAAAAAAAAAAAGAAAGAAAGAAAGAAAGAAAGAAATATTTGGGCACACATGCACACATGCACACATGCACATGGCATGTTTTTCCATGCTGCCAGGTCTGGAACTGGAAGCACGTGGTTGGCCATGTGGGGTCCAGCTTCCTTCACCACCGTCCACTGGCTGCTACACTACTTGCTTTTGGATTTGGATCAATGTTATGGTTAATACGATGAGGTAGTGACCGCAGCTTTTGAATCTTTTGTCTGTGATGAAAAATGCCCTAAGTAACGCTGATGCCATGGTCTTGCATGCCATTCGAAGAAATTTTCCTTCAGATAAGATGCAGAATAAAATACAATGAAAAAAGGCAGAATAAAATGACAGGGAAAATGCCAGCTCCCAGCTTGATGCAGCATGTTATAGAGGAGGTCTTCTAAACACCGCCGAGGTAACTGCTCGTTCTCCCTGGGTGTCGGCTGTGACGCCTTGTCGGAACTCCCAGCACGCCATGTGAATTGTACAACGTCTGGTGAATTGTACCCATTTCTCACTTCTGGAGGAAGCCCAAACACCCCTTGGTTTTTACACTTAAAGCTGTCGTTTACATCAGCAGGCCTGAAACGTGGGCGTTTTACACAAACACATTTACTGCTTGCTTTGGGAAAGTCCCCTCGCTCCAGTAAGGGGCTAGCACTCAGTGGTCACGTGTGACCATGGCTGCCTGGCCAGCCTGTGGCCGAGGGCCCCGTACTCACTGCCGTTGGTCCTCGCCATGATGTGAGCAGTGGCTTCACTGTGACCGTCTCCAGGTGGGAAAATCGTTCTGGAAGCTGACCGTCACCTAGTGGCCTTGCTGGGCGATGGGTGACTCAGCTGAGCTCGGGAAATGGCCACAGCGAGGCCACAGAAGGCAGCGGTGGGAAGGGCATTGAGGCAGGTACAGCTGGGCGGAGGGGCAGGGACGGGGTTCCCGGGGAGAGGGGACAGAGGGCCAGAGTGACATGCTGAGCCCGTCCTCGGTCTGGAGGTCCAGGAAGTGGCTCTCGCTGTTAGAGCGAGACCCCAATGCAGACCAACGTGGGCAGGTCCACCGTCGCGTGGGCAGGTCCGCGTCGGGAACGCCCCCCATCTGCTCGCTGAAATAATCTGAAATCACTGTATCTCGGGCCTGTTACTTACTCTTTTTAAACTCTCCGAAGTATTCTTCACCGTCCAGCCATCTCTTAGGACTGCCTGCAGAGGCACTTGCAGGGGCAGCGGAACGTGCGAGGGTGACTGTCCCGCCGGGAGGCGCTGACTGCTCAGCTGCTCTGCCCGCGCTCCCGGCCTGAGCCTGTCCTGGGACGTGCTGGCACACTTCATCCCGGGCCTCAACGGGCATCCTGCTCCCTCACACGTTCTGCCCAGGACACCGCACAGCTCACCCCTCCTCCCCGCGGTCTCTACCCCGCCAGGCAGTGAGACCTCCGCAGACGGAATAGCTAGTCCTCACCAAGGGTTTGTTCTGTTTCTTACGTTTATTTCTTCCTTTCTTCCATAGGAGTCAGAGATTGGACCTCTGACAGGTCTTCACACGTGACCCACCCCAGGCTCCGCAGTCCCGGGCATGTGTGTACTCACAAGCTCAGGAGGGCCTGGGACACGAACCCGGAACCACGCCCATGTGGTCCAGCAGTGTTACTGCTGTGCCGCCTGCCGGTGCCAGTTACCAGGCATTCATACCTCTGTCCTCACCACCAGACATCCCCTGCGTGTACTTGGTGTGCATCGGTGTCCCCATGAGAAGGGGTTCCCCGAGAGAGCAGGCTATTTGTCCACTGCCGTGTCCCCAGCATGTCGAAGACCACGGCCATCCTCAGCTCATAGTCTGTGGGCAGCGATGGACAAGTGGCTTCTGGCTGGACAGGCTTTGGCTCCTTACAAGTCTTATTTAAAGAGCTTTCATTTTCTTCATGTGCTAATCAAGAGTCACGCCCAGAGGGCCAGGTGGTGGCTTCAGTCACACACCTGGACCACATGGGGAAGGGTCTGGGTTCGTGTCCCAGGACCTTCCTGAGCATGCCTGGCACGTGTACATGAAGACCCCGTTGGGGTGCCTCTCTCTCTCTCTCTCTGTTCATCTCATAGAGAAATGAATAAACTTTAAAAAGGAATAGTGCCTAGGAAAGATGGTCCCTGGCGTCCAGGTCTAGACCCCGACCCAGGCCTGGCTCCCCAGCAGTGCCGTCTGCTCGCAGTAGCGCTCTCATGTGCCCGTTGCTCTGACCACTGCCCCGCCCGCCGCTCTCTCCTCCAGCCGCGTGGAGCTCAGCACGTGATCAGCACCATCGCAGCGAGATGGTGGACACCGAAAGCCCAACATGCCCCCTCTCCCCGCTCGAGGCTGACGACCTGGAAAGCCCGCTGTCTGAGGAGTTCCTACAGGAAATGGGGAGCATTCAGGAGGTCTCTCAGTCCATCGGCGAGGACAGCTCCGGAAGCTTTAGTTTCACAGAGTACCAGTACCTGGGGAGCGGCCCGGGCTCCGATGGGTCTGTTATCACAGGTAAGCCAGCTCTTCCTAGAGCTTCTTTTGGAAATGTCTTATTTCTGGGAGAGGGTTGTTTTCTTTAGCCAGGAAAGAAGACACACTGATTTTGCAAGGAAACCTTCGGACATGAGAAAGCATCGCGCCATGCCACTGGGGCCTGGGAGCGTCTGGGGTGCGTCTCTGTCCCAGAGTCCACCTCCTCGTGAGTGCTGCCCCAGTCAAGCAGTGCTCGCGACACAGAGGGGCGGTCAGCTGCTCTATTGTTCTTTACAATAGAGACTCCTGTTGTAATAAAGATGGCCCCCCCAGATCTGGAGTGTACAGTAACCATCTCCCTACTCCCTGCGTCGTACTAAGAGCGACATCAGGTACTGGGCACAGCAAATGAACAGAAATAAAACATGGTGCACCAGGTAACCTGCAGCCTCACGGGGGAGAGGAAACCTGATGCCCTTCACCTTCCAGGCAGCCCGAGCCAGCACGATAGCGTGGGTCTCGGTTTGAAGAAGGTTCTAGGGGGGGGGCAAGGAGAGATTTACCTCCCAAGATGTCTTGGCAGAAGCGAGTCGGGCTGGGGCTGAAGAGGTTGGATTAGAATCAGTCGGAGTAGCTCGTGGTGGCAAAGCAGGTGTGTACGGAGTGTGGGCTCCCTTGGCAGCAGGGGCTCCCTGGTAGTGTTGGGTCAAAGGTCTCTGCGTTCTTTCCTGGGGGCACGTCCCCCCACCCCGCCCGCGGCCTTCTACTCACCACTCCTGGAAGAGTCTCGGAATGGCCGTGCACCCACTCTGGTGAAGGAGGGGAGGGGGCACCTGGCTTGCTGGGAGTGACGCATTGACAAGACCTTTGTGGGGAGGGAGTTCAAAGTGTGCAGACCTGGGGCCGGCATGGTGGTTAAGGCGCTGGACTCACAGATGGCCAACTGCGATTCAAGCCCCAGACTCGGCGGCTTGAATATCACACAGAGCACATGTGTCTGTGTGCCCAAAATCTCAAGAGGAGAGTGGAGGAAAAGGGATTGTGGCACAGCCATCCCCCCAGGGCAGATTCTCATTGTCCCTCTCTCTAGTGAGCGTATGCGCCCTATGACAAAAGTTTAAAAATGAAAGAATGGAAAAGAAAGCACATGGGTCCAGTAAGCCTCCTGGGACTAGCGGGACATTGCCTAAGAGGACCGTGTAGCCGTCTGCAGATGCGTCACTTTAATGACTAGGGAACAGCTGAACATCGCCAAGGAAGCGTCCGTGGTGCCTGTTCATAGCGGGAGCACTTGCTGGCAGAGCGAGCCGGCTCCCGCGTGGCAGCGGGGCCCATCTGAGCAGCGGTGCTGGGTGAAGACCAGCAAGTTCAGGACATACAGGAGACCCTTACCCGCAGTCAGCTGCAGACCGAAAACATGAAATGGAAAGTTCCAGAAGTAAATGATGAAGTGTTAAGTTGCTCGTTGCTCTGAGTAGTGTGGTGAGGTCTCTCACTGTCCTGCTCCGTCCCACGTGGGACAAAAATCATCCTTCGCCCACGTCCCAGTGTTGCATGCCGTCTGAGAGCTGCTCCGTAGCCTCTTGGTTCTGAGGCCGATACAGGGCACCTGGGGCTCTGTACGGGCGTGGCTGCAGCTGTCCGCTGGGGGTTTCGGGACCTGTCCTTTGGGGATGGGGAGACAGCTGTCTTCTCTAGGATCCGACTCGTGTCAAATGCGTGTATTGCGGTAGGCACGGACACCCAAGGCAGAAGGGCCTCAGCCACCTTCCATGAGGGGAGGTGGAGTTGGGGATGCCCCGTGGGGACTTGCACTCTCACTAGGTTGTGTATTTTAAACATGCACAAAGCAGCGTGATAAATCTTGCGCTCTGTTTTTTGTTTGTTGTTTAGTTACCTCTTCCAATGAGTGGCCGGCCATGTGGGAGCCTGGCACCTTAATCACCATGCCACCTCCGCCCGTGATGGCTCACTCTTTAGAATGGAAGCACTCAGGCGTGCACTTTTAGCTCGGGGTCAGATACGCTCTGGAGCATCTGAAGTGAAGGATTTGTGAGCGGAGCGGAAGCGCGGTTGTAAAACCTCGAGGAGTCCCTTCCCCATGGTGGGCAGGAGTGTTCAGGCCCCTCTCGCCTCCCCAGAGGATGGGACTCGCAGGGCTGTTCCTCACGCCTCCACTCCCAGGCCCCATCTTCGAGCACAAGGAACCTGAAGCCGTGTTCTTCTCATTTAAGTCACTTAAGGTTCCTTTTCTGTAACTCGTCTCTTTCAGACCATCGTTAAGAACCATAACCTGGGGCCAGGCGGTAGCACAGCGGCAGCATGGCTTGACCCACACAGGAGCGGTCCTGGGTTCACATCCTGGATTCTCCCTGGGCCTGCCAAGCAATCACATGAGTGCCCACGAGCTAGGCCAGCTGGGACGAGGGGGCACTGTGACATATGCGGGGCTTCTCTCCTTCTCTTAGAAGTAAATAAACTTTTTTAAAAAAGAATTATAGTCTAAAATATACTATCTCATCTAGAGGTTCTGGCCAGGTAAGACTCTGACACCTCACACAAAGTAGCCTCGTGGTCTGTACAGTTCACTGAAGCCACACTTGCCCCAGCTCCACGGCCAGCCTGTGCTTCCGTCTCATCAGCTCCAGTGACGGTGCGGGAGAGGGCGTGTGTTTAACCAGTTCGGAGGAAGGGCACGGCAAAAAGAGGAATAAAAAGCAACTTTTAAAAAATGGCCACATGCGAGTCTGCTGGGCGCACAGCCTCGATTCCCGCCACAGCCTCGGGGCGGGGGTTCAGTTCAGTTCCTGCCCACTTCTTGGTGCGTGGGTCCCGGCAGTCCGGATCCGCTCAGGGCCTGCACCTAGCCCTGCCTGCTGTCGGGTGGGTCTTTGTTACCGCGTCAGATCATTGCTCACTTGGAAACTCGGTTCTGCACGCTCCGCGTTGGGCTGTGCCAGGTGCTGGATTATCTCACTATCTTGTTCTTTTTGCCCGTCTGTAGTTTGCCCTCTCTTCCTCTTCTGCCTTCTCAGCTTAGCTGAGTAGTTTTGCAATTCCGTTTTACGCCCTTCGCTAGCTCATCAGCCGTCACTCCCAGTCATGTCATTTTAATGGTCGCTTTCAGGTTTCTAGGGTAACGCCCCTTCAACTTACCCCAGGCTCAGGCTCCCTGCAAGTGAAAGTAAACCATATTACAGATGCGAGCACCTGTGATAGTCCATTGCCATACCTCCATTCTCCTCGTGGGTGTTGGAATTGTTTTATATAATTTTCTCTCTCTTTTATGTATTTATTTTTTTAGTTTAGTATTAGTTCTTGATTTTGCTATAGGGTGCATGCACTCGCCAAAGACAGACAGAGAAACAGAGAGACAGTGAGAAATCACCCCCGGGGGCTGGCCACACGGCAGTCCTTTCACCTCGGTCTCCTCTAGAGATTTTGGGCACGCGCACACGCACCTGTCATGATTTTTAAGCTACTGGGCCTGGGACCAAACCACACAGTCGGCCATGTGGGATCTAGCGCCTGCACCTCCCTGCCACCTACTGGTCCTTGTAATTTTATTTCTACTTATGTTATAAACATCACAATATATTAGGTTGTCTGAAAACTCATGATGTTTTTCTATGCAAAAATGCGTCACGACTTTCCCGGTGACTCATTATTTTTAATTTTAAGTTTTAACTGAAAATTCATTGTGTTTTTTTTTTTTTTTTGGAGGAGGTACAATGTGTTATTTCGATATATGTATACAAGCTACTTAACATATTCATCATCTCACACATTTTTCATTTTTTGGTGGTGAGAACATTTGAAATCTATTCTTACAGTGATTCTTAAACTACTGTGTTATTAGCTGTGGTCACTGTACTGTGCGGTGAACCTTTAAGATGTATTCCTCTCGTCCGACTGGAAGCTAGCTGACATCTCCCCACTCTGCGTTCCCCAGCCCCTGGACGCCGTCACTCGATCTCTACTTCCATGGTTTGACTTTCAACATCCCACCCGTCTGGGAGATCACGCGGTAGCTGTCTTTCTGTGCTTGCTCCGTTCACTCAGCAGAACTTCCAGGTTCACCCATGTTGCCACAAAGGACAGAGGCTCCCTCTCTCTGCAGGCTGACTAGTACTCCACTGTATGTGACACCACATTCTCTTTATTCACTCAAGCCTTGAGGGGTGTGCAGGCTGCAATGACGCCACCGTGCAGGGACTCCCACGTGCCGACTTCGGTTTCTTTGGACAGATGCCCACATGTGGGACTGCGGGTCAAGTGGTAATTCTAGTTTTGTTTTCAGAAGTATGAAGCCAGTCCCTTGAAGGAAACGACTTCATCAGCTGGCACACAGTGCTCGTGTGCAGAGCTCTGGCCTTACAGACGCCACCCTTTCCCGAGTGCTCCGGGCAGCCTCCCCTGCCTCCTGCGGTGAGGGTGCACGTTCATTTGCAGTCAGATTATTCTGTCACATTCTTTTTTTTTTTTTTGGAGAGGTTTTTGCTATAGGGCGCGTGCACTCACCAGACAGACAGAGACAGAGATAGAAAGCAAGAAATCACTCCCCAGGGCGGATGGCCACGCCACAGTCCCTTCTCCTCCATTCTCCTCTCAGGATCTTGGGCATGCACGCACACGCACCCAGTGTGAGTTTTAAGCCACTGGGTCCGGGACTCAAACTGTGGTCATGGAGTCCAGCAACAGCCATTACGCTAACTGCTGGTCTCGATTATTCTGTCACATTCTGCATGCCCTCCCGGATCCTCCATCCTCCTAAGTTACCTTTGTTTTAGTCGCATATATTACGGGTCACTGTACTGTGACATTCTTGGGTTTTGACAACGTAGGTATGTGTCCACCATCACATTTTCATGTGAGTAGCGTTGCTTCCTCCAAAAATCCCACCTCCAAAATTCACCTGTTCAACCCCACCTCCAGCGCGGACCCCAACCCCATCACCGACCTTTTTGACCATCGCTGTAGTTTCGCTTTTCCACGGTGCCATGTATCTGATGTCACAATGTGTCGCTTTCCAGACGGGTTCCTTTCACTTGACGGGATGCAGTTGAGACTCTGCCATGTCTCCCCGCAGCCGTTGGGAGAGTCGCGCTCTGCCGTGGGGCTTACTGCAGTCTGTTTACACATTCACCTGTTGAAAGGGGATCTTGGCTGCTCCCTTTTTTTGTGGTTGAGGATAAATCACAAAACAAATGCTCGTGTAGTTTCCGCGTGGACACAAGTTTCCCAAGAGCCGAGGAGATACCTAGAAGTGTAATCCCTATCGTACGTAAGGCCGTTTTTCCTGGTAAGAAATGGCAAAGCCGTTCTCCAAAGTCACCCACCCACTTTGCATGGTCCCGGGCAGCGAAGGATGCTTCCTGCCGTTCCGTGCCCTCACCAGTGCGCTGTTGTCAGCGGGCTGGATTTTGGACCGTCCGGTGGATGTGTGGTGACATGTCATTGCTGTACGTCACAGCTTCCTGAGGAGAGGTGACATCGAGGGGCCTCATGTGTGAGCTCTCGCCATCTCTGTCATCTGCGGCCCCGTGTCTGCAGATCTTTGGCCCATTTGTAACTGAGCTATTCGTTTTCTTGTTGAGTTTCAAGACTTCTTTGTGTACTTTGGACACACATCTTTTTTTTTCTTTTTAGAGGTTTTTGCCTTAGGCCCGTGCACTCTCCAGAGAGAGACAGTAAGAGGGAAAGTGAGAAATCACCCCAGGAAGGATGGCCACGCTACAGTCTCTTCTCCTCCATCCTCCTCCCGGGATCTTGGGCACACACATGCACACACATGCGCCCGACGTGAGTGTTAGGCCGCCGGGTCCAGGACCAGAACTGACGTCGGCAGTGTGGGAGTCCAGCAACACAACTGTTAACACCATCTCCTGGCCCTGGACACGCATCCTTTATCAGATGTGTTTTGTAAATACTGTCTCCCAGTCTGGCTTGTCTTTTCGTTTTCTTTATAGTACCTTTTCAGAGCAGAAGTTTCTGATTTTTGTAAGTTCCAACTTAGTATTTTTCCCTCAGAAGTTATGCTTTTGGTGTGAACCTTTGTCCTACGGTCCAGTACCACTCTTGAGCCATCCGGGAGAAGGGAAGTAGGCACACACGTGTTCGGGGTGGGCCACGTCTACGCGTGTGGGGCCAGGGACCCTGCAGGTCGAGCTTCCGTGCAACAGCCCGAGTGCGCGAATCTGACACACAGGAGGACGTGGCCCTGGCGGGGGCGAGCCCAGCTCAGGCAGGCCCTCTGTGAGAAGCTTCAGCTCTTCACCAAACGCCTCCCGTGCGGGTCTGCTCCCACAGCCCCGGATCTTCACGCGCCTTCGCTCTGTTCTCAGATACCCTCTCGCCAGCCTCGAGTCCCTCGTCCGGCACTTGCCCCGCGGTTCCCAGCAGCACGGATGACTCTCCGGGCGGAGCACTGAACATCGAGTGTAGGATCTGCGGGGACAAGGCCTCGGGCTACCATTACGGAGTACATGCGTGCGAGGGCTGCAAGGTACAGTGTGGGCCCAGGGGAGGACGGGGCCGTGCCGGCGTCCGTGCTCGCCGATCGCTCACGCAGGCAACGGCCACGACCTCGGACGTCACCCATAGGAAGCTGGCCTGGCTGACAGATTTCTTTCCTCAGAGAGCCTAGGGTAGATTGTTCCACAGTGCTGAGTGAATAACTCAGAGAAACGGCTCTTTAAAAGAAGAATCATAATTTTTTTAAAAAAGGAAAGTCCCCTTAAAAACCATCCCTGCCTGGGACCAGTAGTTAGCGTAATGGCTATGTCGCTGAACTCCCATGTAGTCAACCGCGTTCAGGTCCCGGACCCGGTGGCTTAAACTCACGCTGGGCACGTGTGTGTGCGTGCCCAAGATCTTGAGAGAATGTAGGAGAAGAGATTGCCACGTGGCCATCCCCCCTGGGGGATGATTTCTCAACTTTCTGTCTCTCTGTCTCTCTGGTAAGCGCACGTGCCCTATAGCAAAAAACCTCTCCAAAAAAAAAGAAAAAAAAGAACCATCCCTGCCTTTGAATATAAGGTAGAGAATGCTCTCCCTCTGTCTCCACCCTCACCCAAGGCCAGGCAGCAGCTGTGGCAGGGAAAGGACTGGCTACCAGAGAGTCAGAGCGTCTTGCTCAGGGCCCCCAGTACCCAGTGGGACCAGCACCCAGGGCTGCCCCTCTGCTTCTGCTCACAACTCCGGGCAGTTCCTTCCTGACGTGGGGCCCTTCACCCGGGCCATGGTGCCCACGGGTGTGTCCTCACCTGCCTGCTCAGCCAGAGCCCTGGACAGACAAGCCCAGGCCAGAGCACGTGAAGTCGGGTTGTCCAGCATGCGCCAGCTGGCCCTCTGGCCTCCGGCCTTTCCAGCGTGGTGATGAGACGGGCCACCCTAGTACACCCTGCAGGGCTCCTGAGGCCGCATTCTCTCACGGTGTCGACGCCCTCAGCTTGGGCACTTCACGGCCCGGCACAGGAGATACAGTGAGCCGAGTGTCTGCCTGCGGTCCGAAATCCCCATTGCCCATGCTGAGGCGTCTGCTATTAACTTGAACGTGCAGCCTTCCCTGGAACACTGCACCGTCTGCATCTTGCGGCGCTAACTTTGTGCCGGGAGCCGAGCCTAGCCCGGGAGGCCTGGCCCGCAGGAGGAGCGGCCCCTGAGCCAGGGCATCGCGGCACCCTGCCGTTGAAAACCCTTGCCTCTCCCCCTTCCTCCCATCCAGTCTCAGGCCGTCCTACTTCACAGACCCAGATACGAATTCTGACCAAGAGAAGATGCCAATGGCTGCTCCGTCTCCTGTGCGCCCAGCGTACCCCAGGACGGAGGACCTAAAAGCAGAGAAGAAAGACCTGGAGCAGGAGCAGACGCCTTCGGAGTCACCCCGAAAGCAGCTCGCTCAGTGATGTTTTCTCTAGGGCCATGATTTACTTTGTTTCATTTCATTTTCTAGGACTCACTGGCAAAGTTGTTTCTCACTGGATAAAACTTCAGATGCTTTTGCAAAACAAGATTGTTTACAAATAGCTGGCTTCTTGGGACCAGCAGTTGGTGTAATGGCTATGTCACTGGATTCCCACATAGCCGACTAGGATTCAAGGCCCGGACCCGGTGGCTTAAACTCACGCCGGGCACATGTACATGCATGCCCAAGATCCCGAGAGGAGAATGGAGACTGCGATGTGGCCATCCCCCTGGGGGTGATATCTCACTTTCTGTCTCTCTGCCTATCTCTGTCTTTCTGGCCTGCACACACGCCTTATAGCAAAAATCTCCAAAAAAATAACAAACAAATAGCTGACTTCCTTTTAATTTTTTCTCTTCCAGGAAGTTAATATTCTCTTACAAAAATCCCTAAACAGTTTTGAGTCACAAATAAGCATGTGTCCCTGAGGGCAGCTCCCTCCGCACACCTGGCAGAGCAGAGCCACTCCAGAACCCTGCTGCGGCCTCCCAGGCCAGACGAGCCCCTCTGAAAGCATTCTGGATTTTGCCTCATTTTATTGGTTTTCGTTTTAAGCTCAAGGAAACTTGAAATGGTCTCTTGATCTAATTACATCAGACTTTTTAGAAGAACGGTTTCTGTAAGCGCAGTTCACCTAAAGAGCGCCCACACGGGAACGAGAGAGCTGCAGAAGGCCGGGGCACGGGCTTGGCAGCGGCCATGCTCAGTCGGCACGTCTTCCATCTGCAGGGCTTCTTCCGGCGAACCATCCGGCTGAAGCTGGCCTATGACAAGTGCGACCGCGCCTGCAAGATCCAGAAGAAGAACCGAAACAAGTGCCAGTACTGCCGCTTCCACAAGTGCCTCTCGGCCGGGATGTCGCACAACGGTAGGTAAGGCTGCCCGGCGCCTCCCCACCGGTCCTCGGGGTACGCCTGTGCTCAGCTGGGCGGGCTGTCTTGTGAGTAAACGGCTGCAGTGTTTGACGCCCAGGCCGGTGCCGTCAGAGCAGCCTGGGAGAGTCCCTGGTAGCAGAGACCCAGCAGAGCACATGGAGTCACCGCTGGAAGCCTCAGACGGTGAGACCTGGGTACAGGATGTAAAGGCCGAGCAGAGCTCGCTGGGCCGGCAGGAGGCCCACCCCTGAAACTGCACATTTCCTAAGGTCCAGTCAGAGCCCAGGACCAGACCCCGGCAGCGCAGGGGAAAATTTAAAAGGAGCTCCTGAGGGTTGCTTCTCCACCTTCTGAGTAAAGAAAAAGGCATTCGCTAAACGGATTCCAAAGCTCACGTCCTCCTTTTTAGCCTTGAAGGTGGAGTCCGCAGCTGGTGGCAGTAGGAAGTGCCCCGGGAGAGGAGTATGCTGCCACCTTCCACTTCCACTTCCACTTCCACTTCCACTTTCGAAAAGCGCAGGGTGTTTGCAGTTTGGGTTTTGTGTTCCCTCGTCAAAGCAGGAAGCCAAGAAGTAACGAGAAGGGGATTCTTTTTTTTTCTCTTTATGTATTTATATATTTCTTACTATTATTCATATATTAAATCACTATACATCATTTAGATTGTGAAGAGACTTGACCCAGCATGACATACACCCCAGCCCAGCCGAGACCACCACCCACATCCCCGTCCACAGATAATAGAGCGTCTCTGTGTCCCACCGAGAGGGGGTGCTAACTGGCCGTGGGTGTTGCTCGCGGCCGGGTCGGGGCAGGCGCTTTTTCTCCAGCCTTTCGCCCGGTTGCTGCCTCCGGGCGCTCACTCCTCTCTGCTTCCCTTCTCCACGGCCGCCGCCCCAGCGATTCGTTTCGGACGAATGCCAAGATCTGAAAAGGCGAAGCTGAAAGCGGAAATCCTCACCTGTGAGCGTGACGTGGAAGACGCCGAAGCCGCAGACCTCAAGCCCCTGGCCAAGAGCATTCACGAGGCCTACCTGAAGAACTTCAACATGAACAAGGGCAAGGCCCGGGTCATCCTCGCGGGCAAGGCCAGCAACAATCCAGTAGGTGTCTGGGCTCGGTTCCGTGGGGCTCCCGGGTTCCGTGTGCAGTGTGTCAGCCGTGTCGCGGAGGGCGCTGGAGGCGTGTGTCACACGTTGCGGAGTCAGATCTACCACCGAAGTAAAGGAGTGGCAGTGCGGGCGGAAGTGGTCTGCTCCGAGACTCGGAATGCAGCTTCGCGGCAGCTCCTACCTTCCACCCACCCAGAGCTCCTCGCAGCCTGGCACGGCTGTCCTGGGTTACCGCCCTCCCCGCCCCTGCAGACCAGCGCTTAGCTTGTTTCTCAGGTGCATTTGTTTAAACCCCTGATTTAACGCCAAAAATGGAACTAGTTGCCTCTCATTCAAAATATGCTTTTGCACCCTTTCCTCTAAAGCTGCTCTGTCCCCTCCGACGCCCCTCGTTCTCCGTGCCTGCCTGTGTCCCTTCAGCGGGAAGGCAGGGACATCTTACGATTAGAGCAGGTCATTTATTTACACTAACTTGGTCATCTTTTTGGACAGTTCAGGACCTTTTTGAGACAACTCAGCTTGCCCCTCTGGGTCTGCTCCACATCATCCCCGCCTACTCCGTCTCCACTACAGAGCAACCTTCAAGGAGGGGGGGCCGTGGGCCAGTGAATGAAGACATGTTGCCCTTTTCCTGTGAGCTGGTGCAAGAGGCTTAATTTGTGCTAATGAATAGCTCGAAGCAATTCTTGTTGGGAATTACAAGCCGGAATTTTTAGTCACAGGAAAATAAAGTATTTCACAAGCTACTTACGTGCATGAACAGACGCAGCCCCTCCTTACCGAGTCTTTTCATTCTTCCACGAATTCTCCAATTAAATAGGCCAGGACGTTTAGGAAGGTTCCAGCAAACGCCCACACCAGGTGGCCCAGAGGCCAAGCCCAGGACCTTTTCTGGATCCCGAGTGAGAGCATTCCTAGCCTGGAAATGACTCGTTTTGCCCCATATTCGGGTAACCAAAACTTTCTTTTGAGATCTTATATTTGTCTCTTGGACTTTGAGAATTTAAAGCAAACTGAAAAGTCACCTTTCCTGGGAGCTGAAGCCCCCAGGAGGAGCCTGGTGCCCTCAGGGCTGCGGGGCCTCTGCACACAGCCCCTCTTGGGCAGGAGTCGGCTGGACCTTGGTCTTAGGAGTAAGAGCAGCTTCATTGCCTGGGGTGGGGCGCACCACCTGGGGCTGCACATCGGGGCACTTCCCGGAGTCCCGCCCGGCCTGCGCCCCGCTCGCCTCCCAGCCAGAGCACCATGGGCATGCCCACCACAGTGTCACTCTGTGCTGCGTGGCTGCTCCAGTCTGCCCCGTGTCCATCTGCACCTGCTGTCACCTGGCTCACACGTGCTGTGGTCACCTCGGGGTCTTCGCTGGGTTAGTCTGTCGCCTGCTGTTAAGGGTGAAAACACAAAGCCAGCTCGCCCCCACTCGCTCCTCGATTCTCTCCCTTTCTCTGTGGACTCCCAAACTCCAGACTCCAGCCCCCCAGAACGTTCCTGAATGTCAACATCTCCACGAGGTGTGTCCTCGGCAGCCCTCGGTCTGTGTGTCCACAGAGGGCTTCGCTCCCGTCGCTGTTGGAGTTCCCAGTGACCTGGTAGATGTGGCGTCTGACCATGGTTCTGATTCCCATGGCGGCACCATCTTGCCATCCTACCTGGGCTCAGGGCCACATGTGGGCAGAGGGGCTGCGAAGGCCCATGGGAAGAGGGGCCCGTGATGGACAAGGACAGGTGCTGGCTTGTGCAGATTTGAAAGCGTCCTCTGTTCGCCCAGCCCGTCCCTTTGTTCCCAGTGACCAGTTTGTGGCCCTCGCACAGGTAAAGCAGAGGCCGACTGACCAGGGCGTGTCTGGAGAAAGGCCATCCCCCCGCGGGGTGCCCCTGCTAGGTCGTATTGCCCACCTCCCCATCTCCCCGCTGAGCTCTGGCCTGGCGGCCAGGTGGCTGCAGGGAGGCCGTGGTCTGTCTCTGACGCAGCTTGGGAAGCAGCTGAATCTGCTCTGGGAGCTCAGACGGAGCTGAGCTCTGGCCTGGCATAGCCCGCGAGGGCAGCGCCCCCTCAATTCTGCTGCTCCAGGGTCCCGCAGGGACGGCCTCACAGCCCGCAGCTCGCCCCAGCACAGCCTGGCCTGGCGGCCAGGTGGCTGCAGGGAGGCCGTGGTCTGTCTCTGACGCAGCTTGGGAAGCAGCTGAATCTGCTCTGGGAGCTCAGACGGAGCTGAGCTCTGGCCTGGCATAGCCCGCGAGGGCAGCGCCCCCTCAATTCTGCTGCTCCAGGGTCCCGCAGGGACGGCCTCACAGCCCGCAGCTCGCCCCAGCACAGCCGCAGAAGGCTACTTACGTGCATGAACAGACGCAGCCCCTCCTTACCGAGTCTTTTCATTCTTCCACGAATTCTCCAATTAAATAGGCCAGGACGTTTAGGAAGGTTCCAGCAAACGCCCACACCAGGTGGCCCAGAGGCCAAGCCCAGGACCTTTTCTGGATCCCGAGTGAGAGCATTCCTAGCCTGGAAATGACTCGTTTTGCCCCATATTCGGGTAACCAAAACTTTCTTTTGAGATCTTATATTTGTCTCTTGGACTTTGAGAATTTAAAGCAAACTGAAAAGTCACCTTTCCTGGGAGCTGAAGCCCCCCGGAGGAGCCTGGTGCCCTCAGGGCTGCGGGGCCTCTGCACACAGCCCCTCTTGGGCAGGAGTCGGCTGGACCTTGGTCTTAGGAGTAAGAGCAGCTTCATTGCCTGGGGTGGGGCGCACCACCTGGGGCTGCACATCGGGGCACTTCCCGGAGTCCCGCCCGGCCTGCGCCCCGCTCGCCTCCCAGCCAGAGCACCATGGGCATGCCCACCACAGTGTCACTCTGTGCTGCGTGGCTGCTCCAGTCTGCCCCGTGTCCATCTGCACCTGCTGTCACCTGGCTCACACGTGCTGTGGTCACCTCGGGGTCTTCGCTGGGTTAGTCTGTCGCCTGCTGTTAAGGGTGAAAACACAAAGCCAGCTCGCCCCCACTCGCTCCTCGATTCTCTCCCTTTCTCTGTGGACTCCCAAACTCCAGACTCCAGCCCCCCAGAACGTTCCTGAATGTCAACATCTCCACGAGGTGTGTCCTCGGCAGCCCTCGGTCTGTGTGTCCACAGAGGGCTTCGCTCCCGTCGCTGTTGGAGTTCCCAGTGACCTGGTAGATGTGGCGTCTGACCATGGTTCTGATTCCCATGGCGGCACCATCTTGCCATCCTACCTGGGCTCAGGGCCACATGTGGGCAGAGGGGCTGCGAAGGCCCATGGGAAGAGGGGCCCGTGATGGACAAGGACAGGTGCTGGCTTGTGCAGATTTGAAAGCGTCCTCTGTCCGCCCAGCCCGTCCCTTTGTTCCCAGTGACCAGTTTGTGGCCCTCGCACAGGTAAAGCAGAGGCCGACTGACCAGGGCGTGTCTGGAGAAAGGCCATCCCCCCGCGGGGTGCCCCTGCTAGGTCGTATTGCCCACCTCCCCATCTCCCCGCTGAGCTCTGGCCTGGCGGCCAGGTGGCTGCAGGGAGGCCGTGGTCTGTCTCTGACGCAGCTTGGGAAGCAGCTGAATCTGCTCTGGGAGCTCAGACGGAGCTGAGCTCTGGCCTGGCATAGCCCGCGAGGGCAGCGCCCCCTCAATTCTGCTGCTCCAGGGTCCCGCAGGGACGGCCTCACAGCCCGCAGCTCGCCCCAGCACAGCCGCAGAAGGCGTGCCAAGCCCTGGCTACAGCCGCTGGCTCGTGTCCGTCGGGGCAACCCGGAAGTGGTGGTCTGTCCTGGCCGTGAGCAGGTCACCCACGACCTCAGTAAATAGAAAGGTGTGTGGCGAGGACACGGGCAGCTGGGCCACGCTCGGACCTGGCGCACTTTCCCTGCAGGCCTGGAGCCCGCTCTGGCCACGCACAGCCCCCAGGGATGGGGAGGACGTGCTGGCCGATGCCAATCTGAAAGCGTCCTCTGGTCTGCCAGAGCGAGGGCAGCTTCTCCTGCCCAGCTGGCCCTTTTGTTTCTAGAGGACCCCTGGTGGCCCTCACACAGGTAAAGCAGAGCCTGGCTGGCCTGGGGCTGGTCAGGGTGCAGGGGTCAGGAAGGAGGGTGTGCGGGGCCGGGGACGGCTGCAGGGGGCCGCCAAGGCCATGCTTTGGGGAAAGGCGGGTTTTAGCTGCGGGAAGGAGTGGGGGATGGCTGGAGAAGGTCTGTCTCCACACGGATGTGGCTGGCTTGAGCCCTGAGATTTTAGAACCAGAAATAGTCGGGCCTTGGAGATCGGGCCGCAGCTCCTCTGGGGAGCTCGCTGTCCTTGATCCAAGGGTGACAGGGACAGAGTGGAGCTGGGGGCAAGTGAGCATGGCTTCCAAAGGAGCAGCTTCTAGCAATGCTGTTAGATGGTAACATGGCGACCTGTGGGGTAAGGGTGTCGTGGGAGGCCTGGAGGAGGCAACGTGGAACAGAAACCAGGGAGCTGGGTGAGCTCAGCCCCTGTCTGGTGACGTTTGCTTCCCTGTGGACCAAGGGCTTGGCCCCAACACATGCGCACGTGTGCCCACCCACATGTGCACCACACTGGCGCGTGCTTACACACACCCATGCATACACACATGCACTCTTAAACACACCCACTCTTGCTTCTCGTTGTTGCAGCTAACTGCACCTTCTGTAAATGGGTGAAGGTGTCAGTTAAAAGCAGCCAAATGGGACCAGCATATGGCATAATGCTTACGTCACTGAACTCCCAAGGAGTTGACCATGGTTCAAGTCTCGGACCCGGCACTTAAAACTCAGATTGAGCGCATGCGCATGCATGCCCAAAATCCCAAGAGGAGAATGGAGGAGAAGGGATTGTGGTGTGACCATCCCCTCTTCGAGATGATTTCTCTCTTTCTGTCTCTCTGGCTCTCTCTGTCTCTCCAGCAAGCACACATGCCCATTAGCAAAAATCTCTTAAAAAAAAAAAAAAACCCAAATCACTTAGCACTGAATATTTCAACG